CACACGGGCCCTGGGATGCTGTGACCGCAAGCTCTGCGAGCAGGAGGGAGGCCCCACCGACAGGCCGCTGGTGGGTGAGGTGTGAGCCTGAGGGGCAGTCCCCGCCGACCTTTTGGCCTCATCCTCCAAGGCCCGACACAAAGGCCTCTTGCACGCAGCCCCTCCGTCCTCCACGGCCCCCAGGGTGTGCCGGGGCCTGGACACCAGCCCCGCTGAGAGCGGCCACATCCTGCCGGACAGGCGGCGAGTGGGAAGTGGCACCCACAGCGGGCACTGAGCTGTCACGCCAGGCAGGTGGTCACACCCCCCGTGCCCGCACCCACGCCCTCCTCAGGCCGAAATCAGGCGGGAGACCCGGACGCGAGCAGGTCTGGACAGCTGGCCCAGCCCTCCGGGCCACACGCGTGGGCTGAACCACCACCTTTCTGAGGTGGCCCCGCAGCCACCCCAGTCCCCGCGCACTGACCCTGCGGGGTCACCACCTGTCCGTTCACACAGAGTCCTGTGTCGGCGGAGGTGTCGGCAAACCCCAGAGCAGCACGTGGGGCCCGGCCAGGGCTGCCAAGGAGCCATGGAGGACGATGCCAGGTCCCTCCCAAGAGCCACGTGTCAGAGACCCTCCCGTAGCCCACAGGTTTGCACCAGGCGCGCTGAGGTGACTTCGGTGCTAAATCCCAGCCCTGCCACTCACCAGCTGTGCCCCTCGGGCAAGTGGCTCACCTCTCTGAACCCCAGTGTCTCCATCCACGAAATGGGGATGACAGGAGTTGGGTAAGCTAGCACGTGTGTGTGACGCATGGAAAGCGGGGCCTGCCCGACAGAAGGCTCTGGATGAGAGCGTTAGCTGTCGATGAGAATCCTAGAATCCACAACACCAGAGCCTAGAGCAGTGATGGCGAACCTTTTGAGCTCGGTGTGTCAGCATTTTGAAAAACCCTAACTTAACTCTGGTGCCGTGTCACATATAGAAATTTTTTGATATTTCCAACCATAGTAAAACAAAGATGTATATTTTTGATATTTATTTTATATATTTAAATGCCATTTAACAAAGAAAAATCAACCAAAAAAATGAGTTCGCGTGTCACCTCTGACACGCGTGTCATAGGTTCGCCATCACTGGCCTAGAGCCTGGAGAGCTGGCACTGGCTCCTGATGGGAGTCCCAGCAGAGGGGGCCCCGCCGGGAGGCGGGCGAGCAGCTTCTAAGGCTGTGGGCGAGGCCCGCGGGGCAGGGCGCACAGCATCTCCGAACAAGACGCTCCCGCTGGAAACTCCACTATTGCGTTTCTCAGGGTTCGATGCCTCCTGAGGATCCTCGGGTAAAAAGCAAAGTGCCAGCCGGGCAGCCAGCAGGCTCCGCCAGCGTGGGCACCTGGGCACCTGACACACTTCCCTCCCACAACATGGGCCTGGGGAGAAGCTCGGGGCGCTGACAACACGGCTGGGGACTCGTGGACAGGGCCGCCAGCCCCTCCGTCCACTTCCTGATATGGTGACTCAGTAGCAAGCGCCCCTGCAAAAGCTGCCCTGACCGGTCTGGAGAGCTGCCGAATGAGAAAGCACCTGGCCTGCTGGCAGCCCCACCCAGCCCCAAATCCGGCTCCGCAGCGCCAGCTCCCACAGGCCAGCCGCACCCATGGAGCGATGCGGGGATCTCCCAGGCATGCGCACCCAGCGCCCCGCCACCCCACTCTCTCTGACAAAGACCCGAAGAGGAGGGCGCTGGGAGCCCCGAGGGCCTCCAACATGCTCCAGCGGTCAGGGCAGAGGGCCCCACCCAGCCCCCAAGACCAGCGAGCGGGGCAAGAGGGAAGACTCCCTCTCCTTCCACGTGATGAACCGCTGTCTCCGCGAGGCCTTTCTTGCTTTTATTTACCTAAGCAAGTGCCATGGTTACATCCGCCTGCCAGGAGGCTGAGGACCACACGTGGGCTGGGCAGGAAGTCAGGCGGGGAGGGGATTCTGGCCTCTGCTGCGATCCCATCCCCATCGGGTCACATGACTTCTGACTACAACTCAGGTCCCAGTTTTCATCTCTGTGATCAGGATGGAGGGGCTGGGTCTCCAATGTGCTGGGGTCACTGGTGGGGACAGAGCTTCAGGGCTGTGCCCAGTTAGGAGGGACACTTTGGGGTGCCAATGAGCCAGTCAGGCCTGGGAGGGAGCACAGTCAAGAAGTCAGCAGGAGGCCGTCGCCAGCTCCCATACTCAGCAGGAGTCCAGCTCCTGCCCAGGGGACAGCAGCAAGCGCCCAGGGTGGCATGGAGAGCGGCGTGACTGCACTAGCTGCGGAGGCTGCCCTGGGAGGGAGCCCCTGAGTGTCAGCAAGGCCGTGGGGGACCCAGCCAGCGGTCAGGGCCGAGGGAAAGAGGAAGAGGCCCAGCTCCCCGGGAAGGAGGGGCCTGCTCCTCGAGGGCCCCCGCAGAACAGCCACAGCCAGGGGGACAGCGCCCACAGCTCTTCCTGTTCTGAGTGCCTGCTGGGCTCCAGGAGTCACGCTAAGCACTGTCTGCCTTCTTGGGCCACAAGGCCGAGAGGATGGGCCTGGAGAGAGGCCGGGGCACTAGGCCTGGACCACCAAGAAGGGCAGCGATGGGCTGAACGTGTCCAGGCTACTAGACGCAGACAGGCCAGCCTGGGGGACTGGGAGGGAGGTGCGGGGAGGCAGAAAGACACGGAGCCCAGGGGCCCACCTCGCTGACCTGGGCAGCTGGGGAGAGGGCGAGGCAGGGCAGAGAAAGGGCTGAGTCCCTGGGCCCTGGCCTGCCCAGGTGCTGAGGTGCCCAGGCCCCGGCCCTCCTGGGCAGGGGGCAGAGGCAGATGTCAGAGGAAAAATGCCACCTCCCTCCTCAAGGCGAGAGCCACCGCTCACAGGACAGGCCCCACATGCCAGAGGCTGTGCTAATCCCAGCTTGGAAGGTGTCATGCGAACCTCCCTGGCCGGGTAGGGACTGCCAGGTGTGGCCGCTGGTGTGAGGGGCCAAGAACGGGAAGTGGGGGCCAAACCTAATCCATGTCCCTCTCGAGGGCCAACGTGGGGCCAGGTCCCAAGCCAGGAGCCCTAGCCAGGCTCACCCATACAGCCTAACGGGTCCGGCGGGGGAGCCTGCTCCAGGCCGGCCCAGCTCCCAGGGAGCAGAGACGGCACTGAGGCCCCGCGTGCAGGAGCGGTGCTCTGGACGCTGCTGCAGTCAGAAGTGCCCCAAGTCCCTCATCAGACACGGCACCTACGGGGCAGGGCCCAGGCCCAGCCTGGTTAAAGCCAGTGCTGCCTGGGCCTCCCAAACTGCAGCCTCCCCCTCAGGCCTGCCTTGCTCACAGCACGGGGGCCAGGCAGAGCGCAGCCCTGGCTCACAGGGCCTTGGTACTAAGAAGAGATTCTCTGGCTCAGGCGGCCCCTCCCCACCCAGACTGCACCCTGACACTAACACGGGTGCAAGGGCTAAGGTGGTGCTGAGGGAGAGGGTGGACATGCTCACTTCTCACCCCCTGAGCCCATCCCCCCCTTAGAAGAGCCATCTTTTCCCTGAAGGACTCCAAGAACCCATTGAGGGCCCCAACCCCACCCCACTGCTGGGTCAGCAGGCAGAGGAGCTGTGTCTGAGACCTGGCCTCAGCAGCCCACCCCTGAGCCTCCTCTGGACCCAGGCTCCTGACCCCCAAGACCACCCAGGATACAACCCCCGCTATCAGCCCTAGCGCCCCTGGGAAAGACACAGGGAGCTGAGCCCAGGCTCCTGCTCAGACGCTTGCAGACCCTGTGCCCTAAATAAGTCCTGTCGCCTCCCCAGGCCTGCCTCGGGCCCTGTGCACATCGTCTCCTCCCCAGTTCACACCAACCCCTGTCTTCCCCCCCGCACAGAGGCAGAAACCTGCTTTCCAGACTCCAGAACCTAGTCCAAGGTCACGGAGCTGGCAAATGCAGGCCAGAGGTCAGAGCAGGACTGTGAGCTCAGGCTCAGAACGGCACCATCTGTAAAACGGGAAGGGCCTCTGCTGTGTTCTGACCTCCAGGAGCCACGCTCCGTGCCATGCTCTGCCCATCCAGGTGGCCCCAGCTGCAAGTGACTGAAGTGCTCAGATTCAAGGGATTCCGGGTCTGGGGCAGGGTCCCGGGCCTAGAACTAAGTGACTTAAGCCAGAACAGGGTGGCTAGATCAGCCACTCCCAGGACTCCCCCGATTCCACCTGCATCAGTGAGGTTTTAACCAGACCCCCTGGCAGCCTGTGGTGTCACATGGCTAGCTGCTGGCACCAGATGCAAGTGACTGAAGTGCTCAGATTCAAGGGATTCCGGGTCTGGGGCAGGGTCCCAGGCCTAGAACTAAGTGACTTAAGCCAGAACAGGGTGGCTAGATCAGCCACTCCCAGGACTCCCCCGATTCCACCTGCATCAGTGAGGTTTTAACCAGACCCCCTGGCAGCCTGTGGTGTCACATGGCTAGCTGGCTGGCCTGCCCTCTTCCCAGAAACCAGGCTGGGTCAGGCATGGAGCAGGGCTTGCCTTTTTCAACATGGGGCCTGTGACTCAGCTGCAGCCGTCAGCAGCCTCCTGCCCGCGGGTGTGATGGGCATCAGCCTTGCCCACCATGCAGCCTGGGAGGCTCCCAGGGCTCCAGCCAGGCAGGCAGGCAGGCAGGAGAAAGTAGCTCCCCCCGCCCCCCAAGCTTTGGTGGTTTCTCCGCCTCAGAGGGAAACTCAGACCCATTCCAACCACAAGCCCAGCCAGAACCCCAGGGCCAGGGGCCGCTCCTTCTCCACTTCCGGGTACAGCAGGCTCTACCCACACAGACTCCACCCTCTGCTCCCTGGGACACCAGGGGCTTCGCTGAGCTAAGCCTCAGTTTCCCGTCTCTAAAGCAGGCGGACCAGGAGCCTGGCCCCACAGGGGAGTGTGAGGCTGACACCTGATGCTGAATACAGGAAGCCTGGCGGGAGCCGCAGCCTCTGCTGCTGGCCCCTCGGGGTCACCGGGTGGGCGCGGGGAGGGTCACTGACCTTCAGGGCGCACTTCTGCCCCGTCCGCCGGTGGAAGCACTCCAGCACCTTGCCGTTCACGCCCAGGCCCAGCACCTGCTTGGACAACTGGTAGTCCTCGGTCACTGCGTGCT